TCCTCTTAGTAACTTGACGTGAAATTTGAAGAGAAGATGAAATATCTAAAGAGAGAGAACTTGAGAAAAGAAAGGAAAAAAAACTGAAACTGAGACGGTGATTTCACCGTCTCATCCATACACACACACACACACACACATATATATATATATATATATTTTCTTTTTTTTCTTAATTATATATATATATATATATATATATATAAAGTTTAATCGTTTGACGGTTTTAACCCTTCAAGTTTATATTCTCAACTTTATGTCAAATTAGGTATAAACTCAACTTTTGACATAAAACTCGTCTAAGATACAAGTTGGTTAAGCATAGGGTACAAATATATTATGCATAATTCTACCAAAAATTCATTTAACCCAATTTGTACGAGTTAACGGAATATGGATATTATAATTCTTCCCTCCTAAAAAGAATATTTCGTCCTCGAAGTTTAGATAGGGTTAGAGGATTAACATGATTCGAATAGATAAGGGTACTCCTTTCGCATAGATTCTTCCGTTTCCCATGTGGCTTCTCACTCAGAATGATTTCGCCATAACACTTTAACGAACGGTATTGATCTTTGTCGCATTTGTCTCTCTTCTCGATTAATTATCACCTCTGGTTCTTCAATATAAGAGAGATCTTTTTCAACTTTGTCCAATGGATAATCAATCACATGGAGAGGGTGATAATGATATCCGCGGAGTGACGAGATATGGAAAACGTTATGGATATGTGAAAGTTGAGGAGGTAACGCAATGCGATATGCCATCTCTCCAACCCGTTCAAGTATTTCAAAAGGTCCAATATATCTCGGACTAAGTTTACTTCTAATTCCAAACCTACGAATACCTCGTAACGGTGAAACTTTTAGAAAGACGTGATCACCCGGTTGGAACTCTAAATGCTTACGATGCTTGTCAACGTAACTTTTCTGCCGAGATTGAGCCTCTTTCATTTTCAGTTTTGCGATCTCAACTTTTTCAGTAGTAATCCGGACAAGTTCGGGTCCTTCGATAGCTCGTTCCCCCACTTCATTCCAACAGATCGGTGTTCCACACTTCCGACCATATAAAGCATCGTATGGGGCCATGCCGATACTACCTTGCCAACTATTGTTGTACGCGAACTCCACAAGATATAGGGACTCGTCCCAACTTCCAGACCTCTCAAGAGCACAAGCCCGTAACATATCTTTTAGAGTTTGAATAGTTCGTTCAGTCTGACCATCTGTTTGTGGATGAAAAGCTGAACTTATAGTCAATCGCATACCCCAAGCCTGGTGAAGAGTTTTTTAGAATCGAGAAGTGAATCGCGGATCTCGGTCCGATGTGATAGAAACTGGCGTGCCATGTAACCTCACGATTTCCCGCTGGAATAGATCGGACAGTTTACTAACAGGGTACGTCTCCTGTATAGGTAGGAAATGAGCTGATTTTGTCAAACGGTCAACTACTACCCATATAGCATCAGGTCGTCTTTGATTTTTCGGTAGTCCTGTCACAAAATCCATAGAGATATGTTCCCATTTCCAAACTGGAATCTCTAATGGTTATAACAATCCGCTAGCCCGTTGATGTTCAATCTTCACTTTCTGGCAAGTAAGACATTTTGCCACRTATTYRRCTATATCCCGTTTCATACCGTTCCACCAAAAGTATTGTTTTAGATCTCGGTACATCTTAGTGGATCCGGGATGAATTGAGAATAACGAATTATAAGATTCACTCATAACTGCTTTTTTGAGTTCAGGATTGTCGGGTACACAAAGTCGATTAGAGAACCAGATAATACCTTTATCATTAACTCGAAAATTAGACTGTAAATCATCTTTAGCCTTTTGTAAGATAGCCCATAGTTCTCCATCCTCTTGTTGAGCTTCTTTGATTCGAGATACAAGAGTTGGTGCAATCGTGAGACTAGCCAAAAGTTCATTTGCACCACGATAACACAAAGTGATACCCATACGTTCTAGATCTGAAGCAATATGGGACTGAACGGTTAAAGACAATACGTTACCAATGTTTTTACGGCTAAGGCATCAACGACTACATTGGCTTTGCCTGGATGTTATTGAATTCGGACGTCGTAGTCCTTAAGAAGTTCGAGCCATCGTCGTTGACGCATATTCAACTCTTTTTGCGTGAAGATGTACTTTAGACTTTTGTGATCAGTAAAGAAATCACAAGTCTCTCCGTACAGATAATGACGCCATATTTTGAGTCCCAAAATGACTGCTGCTAACTCAAGATCATGAGTAGGGTAGTTTACTTCATAAGGTTTGAGCTGGCGAGAGGCATACGCAATCACTTTGTCGTACTGCATTAAAACACAGCCAAGACTACTTTTAGAAGCATCACTATAAACCTGAAAACCTCCCGATCCAGATGGCAATGCAAGAACAG